GTTTCCCAACCAAACATTACTATGGGGGTAAGAGTTAGCTAGTCATTGTTTCCCAACCAAACATTACTATGGGGGTAAGAGTTAGCTAGTCATAGTTTCCCAAACAAACATTACTATGGGGGCAAGAGTTAGCTAGTCATGGTTTCCCAACCAAACATTACTATGGGGGTAAGAGTTAGCTAGTCATAGTTTCCCAACCAAACATTACTATGGGGTTAAGAGTTAGCTAGCTATATGTTTCACCCAAACCAATATTACAGAAGAAGGAAATTATCGACTGGCTGTGTTTTAGCCTACCATCATCTGTTGGTTGGCTATTCAAATTGCCCTCCATCTGTGGTCTGCGGTCTGTGTTCTGTCGTCTGTGGTCCGTCCATCTGTAATCCATCATCTGTCGTTTGTAGTCCTTCATCAATTCTTAAGCAATTCTTGTTACAGCTATTTATCAGAAAGTACCTTCTGAAGGTATCTTTCTCAAATTTGATATGAAAATTCCCCTTGTTGTGCATGTTCACTTCTGGGATTGATCGGATAATCAAAATGGCTGACAGGCTGCCATCTTGGATTTTGATTTTAATTTGTTATCGTTATTTCTCAGGAATTACCAAAGGGATCTTAATAAAAATAATATATGTAGGTTCCACTTGGTCTGAAGTTGTGCATATTTACTTTTGACACTGATCAGATAAACAAAATGGCCAACAGGTTGCCATCTTGGATTTTGACATTGAAGGTTTGTTAGTGCTCCCCCTAGTCGCTGCACCTTTCCATGGTAGGGGGGATCGAGTACCTCAATGACCTGGATAGTTATGCTGGTTGGGGCTTTGTGCTCCTGGTAGGGTCACCCAAGCCAGACAGGTTGAAAGGTAGAGGTCAGACCAAGCAGCACCGTCCTTCGGCCGGGACGCAAATGCTAGGTTTGCACTGTTGTGCATTCCTTCCTGGGGGTTTGGTATACAGGTGTCTGCCTTCGGGCCAGCTCTTTGTGCATTCCTCTGGAATGGTCGGGCCGTGGTAAATCATCAGAGTCCCATGTATATAGTGTAGATTTTTCTGTCCTTTCTCTTTTCTTCCTCTTTGTTCTTTCACCTTTTTCACACCTTTAAAATTTGATTTAGCATTTGTTTTTGTTGACCATTTGTTGGCTGTAATGACCTATTTTGTGTTGATGGGACGTTTAGCATTGATAATAATAATAATATTGTTAGTGCTATTTCTCAGGGGGTACTTGAGGGATTTTTTTCTAATTTGATATGTATTTTCCCCTTAATCCTTAATTGGGCTGCATGTTTTGTTTTGAGAGTTGAAAAAGTTCCTACATATTTCTGTAAAAAAACACTAGGTGACTTCCAATGTATATTGTTGGAAAATGAAAATATTGAAATACTGGGTTAAAGTGAAAGAAACAGAAAATTGTATATTGAAAGCATGTTATGAACAGAGATTATTGGATAATGATGATTGGATTATAAATATACAATCAGATTTGAATAAGTTAGGATTAGGGTATTTATGGAATAACTGCTATGAAAGTAAGATTGTGTATAAGTTAATAGAGCGCAAAATTTATGATATATACCTGTACAAATTTTTTTGTCTAAAATACAGAATTCCCCAAAAGGAACATTGTATCGGCATTTAGTAGATACTTTTGGTCTGCAATACCACCTGAAAAAAACCATTGATCAGTTGTGTAAGAACAGTATTTCATTTTTAGCTCACCTGGCCCGAAGGTAGTGTTGGGACGATTGTCGCTAATAATCGAAAACTATCGCTCAGGTGTGACGTCGGCGACAATCGATTGCAAACTTGTCACTATCGATAGTTCGAAAATATCATTCACGGTAATTAACAACACGGAACTATGGGAAGGGAGATCACTCTCGCCTCGTGGTCATGATTATCCCTATCTAGGGACAGTTAAATCAGCCATATGGAAATAGTTCATGTTCCGGAAAAAAGAAGGTTCAGTGGGACCCGCAATAAAATCAAATTTAGACATGCCAACTGTCATTTGTAGGCTATGCAAGAAAAGCTACGCCAACAAAGGTAAATACGATATAGATTACATCGATATAGTATCTAAAAGCTTTTTGAAATCAAAATTTTCTGAATGGCCAAGTATTTTGAAATAGTTTAATGATAAACAAAACTAATGACAAATTTCTTTGAAATGGCATAGTTCGTTAGAGGCCCCCCTACACCCTAAAGAAGAAAGTCATTTTCGTTAGCTGATTGACTGACTGTTGAAAATCGACAAATGAAGTTATTTTTTAACACTTTGTAGTTTGTGTTTTCTGTGATATATTTACTCTCAACATAAAATCTTACGTTCATAGTCATGATACACATATGAAAATAAATTTTGGAAAACAAGTATTAGTGAGTACTGAACATGTTTAAGCACGGACTTAGATAACAATCTAATTCTGTGGTTTAAGTAAGTACTATTACAAAGCCATCCACTCACCTTGCAGTTATGTTACATGCAGGTTAGCATACTACAGATGGTGACTAAAGACCAAAGGTGCATACAGAAGCAGTAAAGCATACTACATAATGATAAAGGATTACTAGCTAGTGCAGTCTGAAGCAAAATAAGTGCTATTGTGTTAATATACACTTAAAATTATGTAATTTAAATCCAAAACAACACAAGTATACATTAGGAAACTACACAATACAACAAATACATATTACATATATATATATATATTATAATAGATATAATAATTTTCGGACTTTTTCTGCACGTGTCTTACAAACCGATTGAACTATCGATAGTCAATCGGTTTGGGGCTTCCGATTAATCGATTGTAATTTTCTGTCCGATTCCCAACACTACCCGAAGGGCCAAGTGAGCTTATGGCATGGTGCAGCGTCATGCGTCCGTCTGGCGTCAACTTTTTACTTTAAACAACTTCTTCTCAGTAACCAAAAGGCCTAGGGTGATGATATTTGGCCAGAAGTATGCTTGGATGAAGGGCTACTAAGTTTGTTCAAATAAATGACCTTCATCAATTTTCAAGGTCACAGGGGTCAAATATGTTAAAATCTTTAAACAACTTCTTCTGAATAACCAAGAGGCCTAGGATGATGATATCTGCCCAGTAACATGCTTGGATGAAGGGCTTCCAATTTTATTTAAGGTCACAGGGGTCAAATATGTTAAAATCTTTTAAACAACTTCTTCTGAATAACTGAGAGGCCTAGAGTGATGATATTTGGCCAGTAACATGCTCGGTTGAAGGGCTACCAAGTTTGTTCAAATAAATGACCTTGACCCACTTTCAAGGTCACAGGAGTCAAATATGTTTAAAACCTTTAAACAACTTCTTCTGAATAACCAAGAGACCTAGGATAATGCCAGTAACATGCTGGGATGAAGAACTACCAAGTTCAAATGAATGACCTTGACATCTATATTTTAAGGTCACATGGATCAAATATGTTTAAAACCATTGAATGACTTCTTCATAATAAGCAAAAGGCCAAGGGTGATGATATTTGGCCATTAACATGCTGGGATGAAGGACTTCCAAGTGAATGAACTTCGCCCATATTCAAGGGCACAGAGGTCAATATATGTTTAAATCTTTAAATGATTTGTTCTGTATAACCAAAAGGTCCAGGGTAATGATTTTTCCAGAAGCATGCTGGGTTGGAAGACTATAAACTCTGTTCAGCCTAATATTATAATGTCCTTGTTCGACATTCAAGGTCACAGGTGTCATGTTTAAATCTGTTAATAGGTTCTTATGAATGAAACACTGATATTTTGCCTGTAGCTGTATTTTAGTCCACTTTTAAGATTACAAGTGTGAGATTAATACTAGGTGAGCGATGCAGGCCCATTGGGCCTCTTGTTGCTTTTAAGAAGCGCTCTCAGTCATTATTATGCCGTGGCGTGGCGTCTGTCGTCCGGCGTCAATATTTTGCTTTAAACAATTTCTTGGGTGAAGGGCTACAAAGTTTGTTCAATTGAATGACCTTCAACTATATATTCAAGGTCACAGGGGTCAAATATATTAAAAACTTGAAACAACTTCTTCTGAATAACCAAAACGCCCAGGGTGATGATATTTGGCCAGTAGCATGTTGAAATGAAGGGCTACAAAGTTTGTTCAAATGAATGACCTTCAACTATATTCAAAGTCGCAGGGGTCAATTGTCTTAAAAACTTTAAACAACTTCTTCTCAATAACCAAAATGCCCAGGGTGATGATATTTGGCCAGTAGCATACTTGGGTGAAGGGCTACCAAGTTTGTTCAAATGAATGACCTTCAACTATATTCAAAGTCGCAGGGGTCAATTGTCTTAAAAACTTTAAACAACCTCTTCTGAATAGCCATGGGTCCCAAGATGTTGATATTTTTGCAAGTTGCATCCTGAGATGAAAGGCTATAAAATTTGTTCAACATAATTACCTTGTTTGACTTTCAATCACAGGGGTGAAATATTTTCAAAAAATTTAACAGGTTCTTTTGAATAAATTTTAATCATAAATACTGATATTTTGCCTGTAGCTTTATTTTAGATCACTTTTAAGGTTACAAGTGTGAGATTTATACCAGGTGAGCGATGCAGGCCCATTGGGCCTCTTGTAGTATTATCACATTCTTGTGTGTATAGGTGTATATGATACGATTACATACAATTATCACTCTCCTGTACATCATTACTCTGTTTAACCTGTTAATATGTATTAATATTGTGTTTTGTATCTTATAAGTTGTAAGGCTTACAGAATAAACTAATTGAATTGAATTGATCATAAAAACAAGATGGCCGACAGAACAACTTAACAGATCTTTCTCGTATTGCAATGATCAGCTTTATTTCTTTCACATTAAGTACCGTACTAGTAAATATGTGAAATGAAAAACTCACTTTAAAGGTTGTCTTTTATACACAGCAGTATTAAGATAAGATCAATGGTTACCTCAAAGGTGCATTTACAATTTTACTGTTAACATGACCGTATTAAACAGATAAGAGAAAAGAAAAAGAAAATCAAACTGACAAAGAACCAATTATTAGCTCACCTGCCCAAAGGGCAAGCTTAAGTGAGCTTATGTCATGGTGCGGCGTCCGTCATCCGTCCGTCCTCGTCGTCAACTTTTCCTTTAAATAGATTCTTCTGAAGAACTGACAGGCCTAGAGTCATTATATTTGTCTGAAAGCTTTGTTGGTAGGAGCCCAGCAAAGATTGAGAACGAAAATGACCTTGACCTACTTTCAAGGTCACAGGGGTCAAATATGTCAAACACTTCAAACGACTTCTTCTAAAGAACTAAAACGTATAGAATCTTCATATTTGGCTGATGGCTTCCTGTGATGGAGCCTAACAAAGTTTGAGAATGAAAATGACCTTGACCTACTTTCAAGGTCACAGGGATCGAATGTGTCAAACACTTAAAACGACTTCTTATGAAGAACTAAAAGGTACAGAATCGTCATATTTAGCTGGTGGCTTCCTGGAATAGAGCCCAACAGAGTTTGAGAATGAAAATTAGTTTGACCTACTTTCAAGGTCACAGGGGTCAAATATAGAATCTTTATATTTGATTGATTGCTGCCTGGGATAGAGCCGACAAAGTTTGAGAATTAAAATGACCTTGACTTTCTTTCAAGGTCACAGAGGTTAAATATGTCAAATTCTTTAAACGACTTCTTCTGAGGAACTAAAAGGTATAGAATCGTCCTATTTGGCTGGTGGCTTCCTTGGATAGAGCCCAACAAAGTTTGAGAATTAAAATTACTTTGACCGGCTTACAAGGTCACAGCAGTCAAATATGTCAAACACTTCAAACGACTTCTTATGAAGAACTAAAAGGTATAATATCTTCAAAATTGGCTGGTGGCTTCCTTGGATAGAACTCGACAAAGTTTGAGAATGAAAATTACCTTGACCTACTTTCAAGGTCACAGTGGTAAAATATGTCAAACTCTTTAAACAACTTCTGAAGAAGAACAAAAAGATGTAGAACCTTCATATTTGCCTTGTGGCTTCCTGAGATAGAGCCTGACAAAGTTTGAGAATGAAAATGACTTTGACCTTCTTCAAGGTCACAGATGTCAAATATGTCAAAAACATCAAGCGACTTCTTCTCAAAAATCGAAAGGCATAAAATTATAATATTTGGCTAGTGGCTTCTTGGGATAGAGCTCACCAAAGTTTGCAAATTAGAATGACCTCAACCTACTTTAAATGTCACAGAGGTCAACAACATTTCAATTTGTTCTGAAGAACCAAAAGGAATGGATTCATAAGATTTGGCTGGTAGCTTCTTTGGATAGAGCTATACAAGTTTGAGAAGGAAAATGAATTGACATACTTACAAAGTCACAGGGAACAATATGTCAAACAACTTTTGAAGAAGAACGATGGCCAAAAAGCATAAAATCTTATAATAGAATTTGACTGGAAGTTTCAATAGATGGTGCCGACAAAGTTTGCGAGTGAGAAATTTGTAGTACAATATTTATAATATTTACTGAGAATATTTGCTATGACTGCTTAAATATTCAGGTGAGCGATACAGGCCCTCTTGGGCCTCTTGTTTATATATATATAATGAAGATGGTACAATGATGGGCACCTTACTTAGGGTTCTCATTTCCAGTCACTTCAGGAAACTGGAAATAGATACATTTGAAGACACTATGATATTTAACATATAAAACAGATAGCTCCCTCTGTTAATATTGTCAATGAACTTCTGGTAATTTGATCAAAAGTGGTGATTTGTGCCATACACAATTAACATTTACAGTACTTTCAGACTGTGTACTTTGGTTAAATGATGTAGTTTTCTTCGTATTTCATCGAAAACATTGCAAATACATCAAAGCTCTTTTAAAGAATTTCACTTAGTAAGAAAATCATTAATTGTATCTTTAATGATGTACTCTTCAGGGAACATGGCTGGTATGTCTGTCAAACAGGACGCCATGCAAACAGATATAGCTGGTATGTCTGTCAAACAGGACGCCATACAAACAGATATGGCTGACCTTCAGGGTAAGTTTTTACGTTGTTTATTTCAGCCCTCATGTTAAACTTCCATTTCACAATCTTATATCAAAAGGGACCTCAATACAGGTCAAAGTTTATGAATAATTTCTTTTATATTGATTCCAGCAATGTTTTCACTGTCATTTAATTCAGTAAATTCAGTAAAACATATCTTTTCCTTCATTGAAGCACATGGTTTAGATGTATTGGCTTCTAAGTAGCAATGGGTTAATGATATATTTATCTTGTCTCTTTAGGGAACATGGCTGGTATGTCCGTCAAACAGGACGCCATACAAACAGATATGGCTGGGATGTCTGTCAAACAGGACGCCATACAAACAGATATGGCTGACCTTCAGGGTAAGTTTTTACGTTGTTTATTTCAGCCCTCATGTTAAACTTCCATTTCACAATCTTATATCAAAAGGGACCTCAATACAGGTCAAAGTTTATGAATAATTTCTTTTATATTGATTCCAGCAATGTTTTCACTGTCATTTAATTCAGTAAAACATATCTTTTCCTTCATTGAAGCACATGGTTTAGATGTATTGGCTTCTAAGTAGCATTGGGTTAATGATACATTTATCTTGTCTCTTCAGGGAACATGGCTGGTATGTCGGTCAAACAGGACGCCATGCAAACAGATATGACTGACCTTCAGGGTAAGTCTTTACGTTGTTTATTTGGACTCGTGTTACAATACCTTTTATAATATCTAACCATATCAGCGAGGAACAATCTAGGCCAAAGTTTATGAATATTTTATATAATTCCATCAGTGTTTTATGGTCATTTAATTTAGTAAAACAGTGTTTAAGCTTAATACATAGACCTGTAATGTATAGAGTAACCGTACGTACATGTAGACTTTTAAAAACAAATTAGCCTGTACTCGTTTTGAAGGTCACAGATGATAGATGATTAATAGGTGAGTGTTACAGGCCAAATGAGTCTCTTGTTTAGTAATCATTCCCTAGTGAGAACACAAGCTGCACATGTTATTTTTAGCCCCCTCTGATTCAAATTCGCCCAGCATCAGTGGTCAATGGTCTGTGTGTCCATCCTTCAACAATTTGTGTTATTGTTGTTTCTTAAAAAGGCACTGGAGGGATCTTTCTCAAATTTAATATACAAGTTCCCTTTGGTACCTATTTGTGCATATCAACTTTTGAGACTGATCAGAGAAACAAAACGTCCGACAAACGGCCATCTTAGATTTTGACAGTTAAGGTTTGTTATCACTATTTCTCAGAAAGTACCAAAGGGATCTTTCTCAAAATATATATATAGGCTACCATTGGTCCTTAGTTGTGCATGTTGACTTTTTGAGACTGATCAGATGGCGAAAAGACAGTTAAAGCTGAAAGAGCAAGTTAAAAATCTTTCATTTGAGATTAAAAAGAAGCTTCTATTTTTTCTGGTTTTGAGTTGTTCCCCAGTAACTATCTCTGACTAATAGTTTGTGCTTGCTTGGTAACGAGTATGATTCTCCCTGGGTATAAAAAGTCATTACCTGTCCAACTGGTTATCATTCTACCACTGACGATTCAATCAGCTCCCTTATCAGCAAATGATATCAAAAATCAAACGTACTCACCTGAAGACTTTGAAACACCACTGAAAAATCTACAATAAATCTTATAAGTTATCAGTCTTTAACCTGCATAGAACTCCATCCACACATGACTACTTTATTATGAACTCAAAGTCTTAGTCGTGTAGAGGCTTTACTAGCAAAACAGTCCCAGGTGTGTAGTCAACAATGTGAAACTTGATATTTGAAAACTGTTCTCATGGAAATAATTGAAGTTATTACTAGCAGGATATCTAAAAGGTTGGCGTCAGCATTAGTCAAATGCTTGCTTATTATACCCCCCCAATGAAGTTACTAGATATATCCTAACCCTTTGTTATGGAGTTATGGCCCTTTCTTGAAAAATCCTTTGTCCTGACAACTTCTCCTGATCTACTGGGCCAATTTCAAAGTTTAAATATATGGTAACTGCCCCCTAGCATTGTGAATCCAAGTAGTACTTTTTCATTCCGACCCTTTTAAAAAGGAATTATGGCCCTTTGTTGAAAAAGAATGTTTGCCTCCTAAACAACTGGACCAATTTCAATGAAACTTTACAGATATGGTAATTACCCCCTGATGTCGTGCATTTTTAGGTCACCTGAGCTTTGCTCAAGTGACCTATTCCAATCGCTTTTCGTCCGTCGTCGTCCGTCGTCGTGCGTAAACTTTTACATTTTCAACTTCTCAAGAACCAGTGGATGGATTTTTTTCAAACTTGGTCAGAATCATCCTTGGTAGATGAGGCTTCAAAATTGTAAAATTGAGATTCCTACCCCGACCCCTGGGGCCAGGGCGGGGCCCCAAAGGGAAAATTAATCAATATTTCAAAAATCTTCTTCTCCAGACTCAGAGGTACTACAGTGATTTTCTCTACGTGGAAAGAAAGATCATCAGGGGCTTTACTTAAATTGTAAATTTCAGGACCCCCGAGCTATCCGTTCTCCCTTGGGGAGGGGGTAAAGTTTACTATAGTTTATATAGGGAAATAACACTTTTGGGTATATTTTGACAACTTTCTGTAGGAAATTATTTTTACTTGGTGAGAATTATCCTTGGAGGTAGATGGTTTCAAATTGTAAAATTGAGATTCCTACCCCGACCCCTGGGGCCAGGGCGGGGCCCCAAAGGGAAAATTAATCAATATTTCAAAAATCTTCTTCTCCAGACTCAGAGGTACTACAGTGATTTTCTTTACGTGGAAAGAAAGATCATCAGGGGCTTTATTTAAATTGAAAATATCAGGACCCCGAGCTATCCGTTCTCCCTTGGGGAGGGGTTAACGTTTAATATAGTTTATATAGGGAAATAACACTTTTCGGTATATATTTTATCCATTTTCAGCAGAAAATTGCTCAAACTTAGTCAGAATCATCTTGGGTAAATGAGAGTTTTACTTTGTAAAATTAGGATTCCTGCCCCATCCCCAGGGGCTAGGGCGGGGCCCCAAAGGGAACATTTACCAATATTTTCAAATTCTTATCCATTGATGACATGACAAGTATTGTATTTCACTTAGTTTACATGCTGATTTCCACATCACATCTAAACCATAAAATAAAGCTACCAGTATCTATGATATAACTCAGGTGACCGCTAAGGCCCTTGGGCCTCTTGTTATGTTACCCGAACATTTTCGGGGAAGCATATAGTTGCCGCTTTGTCCGTCCTTCCTTTTCATGTCCGTAGCATAACTTTACCGGCATTTAAGGTAGGATCATGTCTTGGTGTGTACATCAGTCATACTAAGACGATGTGCACTGTGCCAGATATGATCATGTATGTAACAGTTAAAACAATATTTTCCTTCTTCCAAACTCCCCATTTCAACATATTTTTACCAATAGGTGTCATAAATCTAACCAAATGCAATCTTCGCAAACAGGAAAAGCCTCCAATAAAGTTGTTTTCGGGGAGCATACATCTGTTCCACCAATTCTCTTGTTTTAAGGAGTTATGGTCCTTCTTTAAAAATCTTTGTTCTGACAATTCTTCCTTAACTACTAGGATGATTTCAGCAAAACTAGTTCATCTGGGCTAACAAGATTTGGTTTGCAAGTGTAATTTGGCATTGGGAGGGAGTACAGGAAGTATGTCAGTGACCTATATACTTAAATCAGTGTACAGCTCAGAGAATAAAGAAATCATTACTGGTGGGAGACTATAGACTACAGACTACAGTTCTGGTTTATATGAACAAATGATAATTGGTTTGATGGGTATTGCGCTTTTTAGCTTGTTTATTTGCTGAAAAAGGGGGGCTAGTGTAGTCACACTGGCGTCAGCGTCCCACTTCACTCAAGTTAAAGTTTTTGGGCAAGTTTTTATGTGCAGTGTTGAATCCCCACCATCAGTACGCTGTTGACTGTCTCATGTTGTCTAGTCATCTCTTCTTTAGAATTGTGAAGGTTAAGGTACGCCATTCCCAAAACCTGTTATATTGCCACCATTTGTTCAAAGAAAGCTTGGCATATAAAGGGGTTTGGTAATAAATTGACTGAAAGATATAAAGGAATTCTTAAGAAAAACAGAATTAAGGGACTTTGAAATATGTTGGCAGTGAGCGAGGTGGAAAGTGAAAGGCATTATATCAAGGTTTTACTGTACACGTGTTTCTATTTATGTTTGCTATAAAAACCTGTATCTCCAAAAGGCAAGCTGCAACTACTCTTGATATACCCCGGGAGACCCCCTACTCGTTACCAAGCACATTCTAATATGTCTGTGCTTCCTTAGATACAACAGCCGGAAAAGAGCAGAAAACAAAGTTTTTTAAATCTTAATTGAGAGGTTTTTAACTTGCGCTGTCGGATTTGATTTGTAGGTTCCCCTTGACCTTTAGTTGTGCATGATTACTTTTGAAATTGATCGACCATCTTGGATTTTGGTAGTTCAGGTTTTATATTTCTATTTCTTGAAAGTACTGGAGGAATCTTCCTCAGTATGAAAGCTTCCCTTGGTCTCTAGATGTGCATTTTTAGGTCACCTGAGCTTCAGCTTAAGTGACCTATTGCTATCCGTCTTCGTCCGTCGTCGTGCATTGTGCATCGTCCGTTAACATTTTACATTTCCGACTTCAGCTGAAATACTGTCGATGGGATTTCATTGATACTTCATTGTAATATTACTGACATCTCCCTGACCAGGTGTTGTTATTTTTCAGGTTCGATCAGAAATCAAATATTGCCGCCATGGCCACTATTTTGAAAATATCTATTTCAAACTTAAAGTCCAGTCCTGCTTGGCAAATTTAACTGAAACTTGGTAGGAATGATCGACTCATGGTCCTGACAATGGGTTGTTATTTTTTTCGGGTCAATCTGAAATCTAATATGGCCGCCACGGCCACCATTTTGATAAATTTGTTTCAAGCTTAAAATCAAGTTCTAATAGGCCGATTTAACTGAAACTCAGTCTAGGAATGATCAACTCATGGTCCTGACAAACTTAACTTAACGTTATACTTAACTTTTATTTACTCAAATTGGTAGGGATGATTGACATCATTATCTCCACTGTATATTTCAACAACAAAAATAAATACTGTAGGACTCGGGTGACCGTTAAGGCCCATGTGCATAGCTCTATTTCACAGAAAGTATTCAAAGGGATCTTTTACAAATTATATATATATATGTTCCCCTTGTTAAAAATACCCCTGGCCCTAATGAGAATTTATTCCTCATTGACAGCACCTATTTGTATAAGAATTTTTTTTTGCATTTTGCATTACAAAGTTTAAGATAATGTACAAGATTTCTGTTGAGGATTTCCAGCATAGGACTAGGTGATAGTAACTGTAAGAAAATTGAAGATCAAAGAATGTTTAAGATCATCTTTTGAAGATCTGATAAAGATCCTTTCATGGTGGGCACCAAGATCCTTCTACGATCTCTTGTTTAAGTTGATTTAAAATACAAGATGGCCACATGCACTTTCTTGGCTCAGAGGTTTGATACTGATGAGCATAATGGTTAGTTTCTCTAGCAAAAGTAGTGTCAAACACACCCTGGAGGTAATATCTGATTATATATGTGTAAAGGAATCATCGTCTTTGCCATACAAACTTCACCCATTTATATTTCTATCAATCCAATACAGGTCACATCGGAGAGGAATTTGGTGCTGTCAGGGATGAATTTGGTGCCGTAGTTGGTGCTGTCAGGGACGAATTTGGTGCTGTGAAAGAACAACTTAACATATCAGCAAACAGGGGTATGATGAACAGCAATAAGTTCCAAAGTTTTACAAGAAATAAAAATATCAGGATCACATATCAATGTAATAAAATGTCAGGGTAACATATTTGTAACAGACAACCTCAGTCAAAATGTGTCTGCTTCATTCTAAAAGAAAGAATGAAGATTGACACAAGCTATCATTAATTGAAAGAGAATAATTTTTAATTTTAAGGCCACTGGTCTGAAGGGCCTAGTGAGCTAATAATATGCCTTGGCGTGGCATCCGTCGTGAATTTTTGACTTATAACAACTTCTTCTCAATAATCAAAAGGCCAAAGTTGATGATATTTGGCAATTATCATGCAAATAAATGACCTCCCATTTTCAATGTCACAGGGGTCTACTATTGAAATATGTAAAAAAAAATAAAAATTGACTTCAATGGTACATGTACATGGTAAAATATGTATGAACCTTTTAAAGATCTCCTCTCAATAAACAAGAGGTCTAGGTCAGTGATATTTGGCAAGTTGCAACTTAATATCCTTGTTTGACTTTCACGGTCACAGGGGTCAAATGTGTTTAAATCTTTTAACGGGTTCTTTCGAATGACTTATAGTCCTCGATACTGGTATTCTGCCTGTAGCTTTGTTTTAGTCCACATTTGAGGCCCATTGGGCCTCTTGTTGTATAAAAACAAGAAAATTCAGATTTGTTATTGACCATTCAACTGCTCTTATAATACAAATTGCAGAAAGGATGATTATATTTTGAACCCTTCACAAACAGTACTTCAGATAGTTTTGTACTTCAAAAAGGAAAATGCAATTACAAAGAAGTGTTCAAATGTTCAATAAAACTCTGCCAAAGTCAAAATAAAAGTTATTTTGTACTTAATTTCATTAATTTATTTGAATTAGATAGGGTTTTATGCCGTGAAATGCACCCCGAATAAAACCTCCCTTACTTTTACCCAAATTCCCTTAGAATGGTTGTAAATCTCGCAGATTGGCCTATAGGAAATCTGGCATGTATATAAACGGAATGAAATAGCACACTGCCGATACGGAATTAATATAAATAAAATAAAATAAAATTGTAATTTAAATTATAAAATAAGTATAGTCAAATTGAACTGAAAGATAAAAATTGGGAATAATAACTGAAGACCGGCAGAAAATTGGCATGTTACTTTGTGATAAATATAAACCATATCAATTATCAGCTTGCTCTTAACATTGAATTCCTGGTATGTAGGATCCCTTCACTACTTGAAAGTCCGTTTTCATGCATCCACTTAACAGTTATAGGGATAAATAAACCTGCCCACACCATGGAGCACGGATATATACATCACCAGCACAACAGTCTATATCATGGGGGCACGGTTTTGTGGTGACATGTTTGTGTATACAATGTGTAAGGGTGTGTGGGACTATATGAACCCTGTATTGGTTCAGTGTGTTACTGTGGTGACATCTGATCCTCCATACACTAGTACTAACTGTTGTCAGTGTTCTGTTGTTTTGAAGATTTGGTAAATATACTTTATACACAAAAGATTTTACTATTCATAATCTTATTTCATAAGCCAAAAGTAGAGAAGAGAGTAAAATTACCTAGATAGAACTAAAGAAGATCTTCCGGTGTTGGGCATCAAGATCCTGCCGGGATCTCTTTATTTTCTGTCCTATTTCTGAATGGTTGCTTTGTAAAGTATCTCATGGCATGAATCCTTGTATTTTACAGGCAGGGATACCAAGTTGTCAGCTTTGATAGGTGAGTTTGCTGAGTAGGGTTGGATATGAAGATGTTTGCTTGATGGCAGAGAGATACAGCATGCCTTCAATAGGAACAAAACCTCTTCAGGGACAGGAACTGAGCAAATGTTTCAAGTGTCATTGTCTAAATATTTAAGAGCGTGTGAAATATTTGAACCTGTATTTTACAATAACAATTCATGTAATCATCCATCAAGGCCATATAAAACTTGATAGTCAAGTTATCATTGTGGCTAACTGATTGATCGTGTATGGTGCAGCATCCGTCGTCTGCCAATCAATTTTATAAGCTCACCTGGTCCAAAGGACCAAGGTAAGCTTATGCCATACCGTGGTTTCTGTCAACAGTCGGTCAGTTGTTGTCAACAATTTCTTAAAAACGACTTCTTCTAAACTGCTGATTGGAATTGAATCAAATTTGATGGAAATTCGAAATTGTACAAATGGAGGGGCTGAGGGGCGGGGCCAAAAGAGGTTATTTGGCCATATTGCTTTAAACAACTTATTCTGTGGAACTAAGAGAAAGATGTCAACCATATTTGGTGGGAAGCATTCTCAGGTTGTTAGGATTCAAAATTGTAGAAATGGAGGGGCTGCCCCACTGGGGGACTGAGGGTGGGGCGAAAAAGGTGTTATTTGCCCATATTGCTTTAAGCAATTTCGGCTCTGGAACAATGGGATGGATATCAACCATATTTAAATGGAAGCATCCCTAGGTGGTGGGGAATCAAAATTGAACAAATGGCAGGGCTGACCCCCAGGGATAAGGGGGGGGGGGGGGGCAAAAGGGGTAATTTGGC